GTGTGGACGCTTGAGCACGCGCGGCAGCGCGCCGAGGAGGCGGAGCGTGGTGCCCAGGAAACGCACGACACCGCGGAGCAGCGCCACGGCGAGCAGCTGGCCACCCTCGAGGCGGCCCTGGAGCACGAGCGGGCGCAGCACGCAGACGAGGTCGAAAGCCTCCGGTGTGGCGCTTGAGCACGCGCGGCAGCGCGCCGAGGAGGCGGAGCGTGGTGCCCAGGAAACGCACGACACCGCGGAGCAGCGCCACGGCGAGCAGCTGGCCACCCTCGAGGCGGCCCTGGAGCACGAGCGGGCGCAGCACGCAGACGAGGTCGAAAGCCTCCGGTGGCGCTTGAGCACGCGCGGCAGCGCGCCGAGGAGGCGGAGCGTGGCGCCCAGGAAACGCACGACACCGCGGAGCAGCGCCACGGCGAGCAGCTGGCCACCCTCGAGGCGGCCCTGGTGCACGAGCGGTCTGAACATGGTAAGGAGTGTTTGTTGCTGCGGTCGAATGTCAAAGTGCTGGAGGGACGCTTGGCTTCTGTTGAGAAACAGTTGGAGGATGCCGTTGTCTTATATCGTGAAGAGGTTGAGAAGGTGAAGGTGGCTTTTGCGAAGGGTCGTGGTTGCTTGGAGATGAAGTTGTCGAAGTTGTCGGTGTCTTTCGACGAGGCAAGGAGAGAAGCTGACGCGCTTAGGAATACGGTAAGAAGGTTGGAGGAGGAGAATGGGCAGTTGTGCGTGAAAAGTCGTGGAATGAAGAGTGCGTTGGCGGAGACTGAAGCAACACTTCGTGAGGAGAAGCGCTCGTTGATGGCGGAGGTGTCGTTGCTGCGCTCCCGTTGCCTTGCGCTGGAGCAGGAGGTGGCGAGCGCTACGGAGCTTTCACATGAGAAAGCGGAGGCGGCGAACAGTCTTTTGCAGCAGCTTGCGGAGGCAAAGTCGAGGGCAGCGGATTCGGCGTATTCCGATACCGCGAGGCTGGCCGGGGTTTCAGTGGGCCTAGAAGAGGTGGTGCTTTGTCTGCGTGATGCTGCGGTGGCGGAGTTGAAGCGGGCGGCGCGGGGGACAGTGGTGGTGGATGAGGAGGGAGAAGGCGTGATGCAGCTAGGGCGCGAGCTTTGCAGCGCGATTGAGCACACGGCTGGTCTTTCCCTGCAAGTGACGCGGCGGCAGAGGCAGTTGACGCAGCTGATTAACCTGGTGGCGGCAAAGCAGAGCGTGGCGCTGCGGAAAATTCAGCAGTGTCTGTTGGGGTCCGTCGCGCTGGGAAAGACGGACGCCGCCATCCTGGAGGCGTGCCTGCTGCTCTTCAACGATGTCGCGGACGCTCTTAGTGCGGTGGCGGTCGCGGAGGCCGAAGACGTCGCCCGGCCGTCGTCACCGACGCCGGTGGGGGTCGAGCGGGAGTCGCTGCTTCAACGGACACCGCGTGCGGCGCAGAGTCGCGTTAGTGACACCACGCCGTCGCCCGAGCGGCACGCTGCGCCATCCCCCGGCGAGAGGAGGCCGCCGGCCCCCTCCTCCTCTCGGGGCCATGCGACGATGTCCTCCGCGGCGAGGGGCTCGCCGCACGCCCTCCGAGTGCCGTTGGAGCGGCAGTCAAGGATGGACGCCGGCCACGCTGGCGACGACCCTTTCGGCTACGCCGTGGCCACCCTGTCGGCGCAAGAGAAACAGTATGATCGCAGGCAGCATTCCGTGCCCATGAAGCGATGGGTGGCACCTGGAAAGGCGGGCGCTGCAACACGCGGCGGAATGTGAGGTGGAGAAGCAGGGCGAATGAAAATATATCCCACTGCCTTTTTTTTCGCTCTTCTGGCTTGTGTATTTGTGTATATGTTTTTTTTAGATGTGTTTTCTCTTCGCCTCTTGCGAGGACTTCCCTCATTGTGTGAGGTTCACCGTTTCTAAGCTCGCGCTGCCTCTTGGCGCGCGAACGCATCTCTTCTCTCGGCATCATCGGCCCCGCTTTTTTTTTGTTTTCTTTACGCATTTTTTCTTTCTTCTTAGTCTATCCCATCGCTGCGGATCGCCTTCCGCCGCGGAGGGGAAAAGCGGGTGCGGGGCAGTGAGGAAACGTCACAGCTGCGACTGTAGAACAGAACACAACGAACATGTCCGCCCTGCTGCCTGCGGAGGCGGTGACGCTGCTGTACCGGCGCTACCTGAAGTCAGCCAACCGCATCCCAAACGTTACAATCCGCATGCTTCTCCTGCAGCAGATTCGTTCTGGTTTTAGGCGGAATAAAGGCATCACGAGCCCTTCAGCGCAGCGTGAGCTTATTAGTCAGGCCCACAAGGACTTGCAGGTGCTGGAGGATGAACGACTTTCCCGCACGCTGTACATCAATCGTCTCGGCCTCGTCTCGTGCCTCGACTGGGAGGTGCGCCGCACGGAGTACAACTTTACTCCCGAGACCCAATACTTTCTTTCCGTCTACCTCATCATTGGCTTTCTCTTCATCGCGGTGGTAGTGACAAGTGTGAAGCCGCTGGAGGCACGACAGCCTGAAATCAACGCCTTGGTGGGCGCCATGGCAATGCGACTAGAGGCGGAATCACCGGAGCAGCTGCGGAAGGTGCGAGAGGAGCAAATTCGCTCCGGTTTGGAGAGTCAGGCGCACCAGATGTCGCTGGAGCAGCGTGTTCTTGCCACTTTTCACGAGGCGCCCAAGGTGAAGGTGCTACCGCCGTCACTGCAGAATCCTAACGGGGCGCTGCGCTACGAGGACTGACGAGCCACGGGTGGGGGGTGGGTATTGGCGTCTGTAGGGGCACACATTTCCCCCTGTTTGCCTTTAATGCTGGAGTGGGTGCATGTGCCACTGCCCGCGTTGTTTATGCTGTCCCACCTGAGCTCTGCTCTCAGGTGGCACTGTGTGGTGCCGCAAATCTATTTTTTTTTTCTTCGTCACTCTCTTATTTTTTTATTGTTTTTTTTTTGCTTTTTTTGCTCCTACGGGGGGTCTTCTGTGTTTCCCAATTCCGTTGTCTTGGGAGGAAAGGGAATACAAGCAAGTTTTGGGAGCGAAGCACGGGCGAAGACGCAGCTCACCGCATGGACTTTGGGTACGACGAGCACGGCAACAGGCTGGAGCCTGACGACAGCAGCAGCGGCAGCAGCAGCTACGACGGCAGCGGCCAGGAGGTCGCCTCTGTGAGCGACGACAATGCCTGGCAGCGGGAGGGAGGCGGCAGTAGCGATGAGGACGACGACGATGGCTCACTCCAGCAGCAGCGGCGGCGGCGAAGGCGGCATCGTGGGAGCTCCACTGATGCTGAAACAAGTGATTCAAGCAGTGACTTTAGCAACGACGTGGAACTCGTTATTGGCGAGGCGGCAACACAATCCCTCGCTGAGCCGCTGGTGGAGGGGAAGGACGTCGTCTCGCGTCCCCGGGCGACGGGGGCACAGGGTAAGTTTCTCGTGGAGGACCGGCGTGTGGCACCGCTGCTTATTCAAGACGTTCATGCGGCACCGTCGTCGGAGCGTGGCTTTCTAGATCTCCTGCGCGGCATCCCGGCGCGGCAGCGCAACGTGGCCCTCATTGGCCACCTGCACCACGGCAAAACGTCGCTGCTCACCATGCTGCTTGGGGGTCGCGCGTACCGCCAGCGTGAGGATGAGGTGGAGCGCAAAATCTCTGTGAAGAGCAGCGTCGTGACGGAGATTGTGTCCGGGGCCCACTTCCAGCAGGCGTCGCACCTTGTCAGCTTCTGCGACACCCCCGGCCATCCCGACTTCGCGGCGGAGACGGCGGCAGCCCTGCGCCTGGCAGACGCCGCCATGTTTTGCGTTGACGCCGTTGAGTCCGTCACACGCAACGCCGTCCGACTGCTGCGACAGGCGGTGCTGCAGGAGGGCCTACCTGTGATTCTTGTCATCACGAAGGTTGATCGCCTCATCATGGACCTCAAGCTGCCGCCGATGGACGCCTACCGCAAGCTGCGGATGGTGGTGGACGCCGTCAACAACGAGATCGCCGGCTTTGGCTCCCCATTTCTTGTCTCCCCGGCGAACGGCACCGTCTGCTTCGCCTCCGCAAAGCTGGGCTTCTGCTTCACAGCGGAGACCTTCGCGCTGAAGTACAGCCGCGAGTACCCTTCCGTTGACCCAGCCGCGCTGTCGCAGCAGCTCTGGGGGCAGGTTGCCCTCGAGAAGGGCCGCTTCGTGAGGATCACCAACTTCACCCAGAGACCTGCCTTCGTCACGCTGGTTCTTGAACCGCTCTACAAAATTGTCGCCCACGCGTTGACCGGCAAGGGACACGAGGCTCTTAGCAGCAGGCTGCACCCGCTCCCACGGGACCCCGTCGCTGCGGCTCGCGAGGCCATCCAGCTCTTCTGTGGCGACGCGGCGTCGGAGGGCATTGACGCCCTTCTCAATGTGATGCCGCAGCCGGATGCGCGCTCGGAGTGGCTTCGACTGCGCTATGGCCTTGTGTGTGAGGCGGAAAACTCGGCGATTGCCATTGCGCCGCTGCTGCGTTCGCAAAAAAACGGTGAAGAAAATTTTGCCGTTGTTCGCGTGCTGCATGGTGTTTTACAACGAAATATGAAGCTGGTCGTGGTGGATGAGCACTCCAGCGACGCGGAGCCGTTCTATACATTTGTCGTCAAGGAGCTGCTGCTGAAGATGCTCAACGGGCTCGTGGATGTGGATTGCGCCTATGCAGGCCAGGTGGTTCTTCTCACTGGCTTTGGTACGCGACCCGGGAGCCATCTTGTGCTGGTGGGGGGCGCCATCGCCGCTCCCCTGCTGCTGGAGGAGGAGGAGGACGCCGCTGACGTGGGGGACGCCACATCCGGGGCATGGCTTGACGAGGCGCGGGTTTATCCGCTCAACTGCGGGGATCCGATGGTGCACGTTGGGGTGGAGCTGAAAGACCCCACGAAGAGCGCAGAGCTGCAGCGCGGACTGCAGATTCTCGTACGCACAACCCCCGGGCTTGATGCCCACAAGGAAGAAACAGGCGAGTTCACCCTCACCGGGTATGGCGAGTTGCACCTTGACACCACTCTGCACGAGCTACGCTGTGGCCTCTGCAAGGGCGTAAAACTTGGAATCTCACAGCCGTTCGTCTCCTTTTCGGAGACGGTGCTGGAACAGAATGGCGTGCTGGCCGTGAGCGGCCCCAAGCGGGCACAGGTTGGCTGCACAAGTGGCTCCCTGAACCGCCAGCTGGTGGATCTCGTGGAGTACGAGCAGGTCGACCTCTTTCCCCGTGAGAGTAGCGGCGTTGTCAAGCTCTGGACGACGCTGCGGCGACATGGTATGGACGCGCTGGACTCCCAACACGTTATGGCGGCGGGCCCCCACGCGACGAAGGGCCCAAGCCTGCTCATTAACGACACTATTGAGGAGGAGCAGCGGCAATTTGCGCCGCTGACGCAGCAGCGTTTGCAGGCCATGGCCGTTGGCTTTCGCTCTGCCGTGGCGTCTGGTCCACTCACCGGCGACGTGGTCCGTGGCGTCGCGGTGCGACTCGTATTTGCAGACGTGGAGGCGGAGGTGAAGGATGCGGCGGTCATTTCCATCGCGCGGACGACGGTGAAGCAGGCGCTTCTTGGCGGGCAGCCGCGCCTCCTTGAGCCGGTGCTTGCCGTCGACATCACGTGTCCCCCCGAGTGTGTCGGAAAACTTTCCGAGATCCTGCAGATGCGTCGGGGAGGCATTTTGGCGGAGGATCCGATTGCCGCCACAACGCTTGTGTGTGTGCGGGCGCTGGTGCCGGCGATGGACAGCTTTGGCCTGGAGACGCAAGTGCGCATGGCGACGCAGGGCGAGGCGTTCCCGCTCTTCAGCTTCGACCGCTGGGACCTCGTGCCCGGCGACCCATTCGACGCGACCATCCACGTCCCGCCGCTGCAGCCGGCACGCGGCTACCAGCTGGCGCGGGACTTCACGCTCAAGACGCGCTTTCGAAAAGGCCTTCCACCACTCCTCGCGGAGTTTCAGGCGTGACTGCGCGCCTCTGCTTGCGTGTTTTGATTTTTGTCTTGTCTTTAATGCAATGAGAGGAAAGATAAAAAACAAAAAACAAAACAAAGAAAGCAACAACATCAACAGGCGGTGCCTTACAGTCACAAATAAATATAATTCTTCCCTCCCAACACACACACACACATATGTATAAGCGCTCCGCGGGGAAACTTGTTTCCTTTGGGTTCAGTTTGACGGCTCCTTTTGCTCCTCTGCATTCTGTTCTCCCGCTCTCTTTTTTTTTCTGCGTAGACGCGTTCTTCTTCACGCTTGTGCGCATGACATTCCATGTGTGTGCTTGTGAGTGTGGTGGTCGGTTGCTCTCGCGGAAGGTAAGCAAACGCGCATCGGATGCGAGGGCGCCAAGAAAGACAGGTGGTGTGACAGGCCCACGGACGGCGTGCACACGACGCACTTGCCACAAGACAATGCGAGTGTTGCTGGACTGAAGGCTCAATGATGGGAGCAGCCGTGAGCGGCGTCGAGTGTGTCGCAGAACTCAGCGGCTCCATGTTGTTCCGCGCGCTTGGGTGGCAAGTAAATGCTGATGCGTCGTCTGTGCCCCGTGGCGGCGCCGGTGGATTTTTGCCCGAGGTACGTCTTGCGCGCCCCTCCAGTGAGAGCGCGGCCCCTCATCTTGTTCCCCCAACTGGCGTGGATGACACCGCCAGGTTGAAACTACAATGCGTCCGGCAGCGACGTTCAACTGCGCCCAATTGCTGCTCCGCCGTGGCGTGCTGCGTGGCGTGTCACTCGTGTCCAAGAGGGCGTTGCTGATACTTCCGAGTCGTTGCCTTTTTTTTTCAAAGCCACATGACCTTTCTGTGCTGCTGCTGCTGCTGCTTTCTCGCTTCCTTTCTGCCCACTGCCGCGGCGTGTTAGCCGTGGCCTGCATGGGTGAGGACGGCGCCCGACACGAAATTTCCCTCCGTGCCGCGAGGGACACCAGCGGCTCGTACGGCTCCCGTGCGCTTCGCTGTCGCCCACCCCAACTGCTCCATTTGTGCGTCTCACCGCGCCGGTTGGGCGCCATGTGAAGCCTTTTTTTTTTGCACTTGTTTGGTTCTGCTTCTGCTTCTTCCTTATTCTTGCTTTCTGACGCTTAACCTGCCACCAGTGGAGTAGCACCGTTGTCTTTCACACCGACGTTTAACGTAACTGCGAATGAGTCGGGATTTGGCAAGGGAGGTGGATGAGGCGCTGCAGCAGGACAGGTATGACCTCCCGCTCTTCCTTCGCTTCCTGAAAAGTTACGTCATGGCGGGTACACAGCCTGACAAGCGCTTGCTTCTTGGAACCCTTCTGCAGACGCTCCCGCGCTTCCAGTGTAGCGACTTCTCAGCATGCATCTCCCTCGTGCCGGGGCACGTGCAGGATGCCCACTACATTGAGAAGGAGCTCGGCCTAATTTACGATCTGGAGAACTACCTGAGCTGCGGCAGGTTTGTGCAGTTCTGGGAGGTGTGGGGCGAGGCAAAGGGCCTCCTCGCCGCCGCGCCCAGCTTCGAGCCGCAGGTGCGCGCCGGCATCTTGACGGTGGTGGCCAGCACACTCGAGAAGGTGCCGGCGGCGAGGCTGGCGACGTACCTCGGCGTGAGCCCCGACCAGCTGCAGTCCACGCTGAACGAGTCGGCCCGCCTCTCCGGCGACGCCGCTCCGCTCCTTTCCTGCGACGCGGAGACGGTGACGTTTGCCAAGTCGACCTTCAACGCCCCGGAGAGCGACACCAACCAGCAGCCGCTGCGCTTCTCCGACATCGTCTCGATTGTCTCGTGAGGGCGACGGCGGCGCGGACGGCCCCGCCAAGGAAAAGCGAGGCGGAAAATGGAAAAAAGAAACTACATCTAAGTGACTTTAAACAAACACAAATGAGTTCGTTTACCCCTTGTGTGTATGTGTGTTTTGTTTCCTTGTTTTGTCCTGTGTGGTTGCCTCCACCCCGCCTTTTGGGGCTCCTTGCGCTCCCTGCCGCTGCGCCCCGGCGGCGGCGCGGTGGCCATCAGCCATTTTTTTTTTTTACGACGTGGCCTTGCGCCTCCCTTTAGAGACCTCCCACCCCGGCGCTGGACAGAAACAGGAAGCGAAGAAAAAAAATCCCAGAGCCGGGGCCCATTCCCCATTTGTGATGCGCCACAGAGTGCCGTCGTGCGTGTTTCACCGACACGAGGTGCCAGACACGAGCGAGTACATGTGCGCGTTTGCAGAGTTGGCGGAGGTCCGTCAGGCGCTTGGCCTGCAGGAGAAACCGACGGCCGCAGTACCAGGCATTCACCCCGCCAGCCTCGCGTTGCGCGAGTCAGTCTCCATGATTCTCTCGCACGCCGATTACACCTCCCTCACCCGCTGCCACACGGTTGAAGGGCTCACAGAAGAGCGGGCGGTTGCGTTCTGGGAACATGCCACAATGTTTGCCGCGGAACATATACTGAACTCTGCCAGTGCCTCATTGCGGCGTGGCACGCCTGTGATGGGAGTCTTCATCACGCGGAACGCCCCGGCGGACTTTGCCGTGGGCCTCATCACACAGGGCACATTACGAGACCAACGTTTGCAGGATGCGCTCGCTCGGTTCTCCGCTCCGCACACGCTGGCGAAGGTGCACGCGGAGCTCCCCCTCTGCGCCGCCCACCGTGCGGCGACGCTGCGGCTGTGGTGGGAGCCACGGGCAGAGCGTGTGACCCCGAACCGTGTCATGCCCCCAATGAAAGTAATTATAGAGCAGCAACTGCGGCTGGATGAAGCCCAATTGAGCGGCTATGCTGCGGTGAGCGTATTTCTTTGTCGTCCTGCGGCGGCACAGCTTTGCGGCTCCACGCGGAAACTCTTGATTGACGCCGCTGCAGTTGCTCCCGAGAAGACCGCGGCCCCTGCTGCCGACAGGAAAAGGGAGAAAAGGAAGAAAAGGTCTGCCGCATTTGCGCTGGATGACCCGCATGGTGCCGCCCGCTGCCGGGAGCAGGAGCAGGAGCAGCAGCGGCGGCGGCGTACGGTTGTCCTGCACTTTGACGATCTCTCCGTCCTCGAGGAGGGCGAGCACCTCATCGGCGTGGAGGTGGAGAGGCTGCCGTCGTACAAGGCGTTTGTCCCTGCGCTCTACGGCCACTTGGCTCCTTTTCTCGTGGTGGCTCATGAGGATGCCTAACGGCGGGGCTGTGAGCGAGGAAAGCGCCGGTGGTCTCCTGCATACATATATATATATATATATATATATATATATATTCTGGCCTTTCTTGACTGCGCAACGGACCCGCACGTTGCATGACAGAAGACGCATGCCGTCACCCCTAATTTCGTTTTGCTGTTGTTATTATTGTTGTTATTTTATTTGTCTTTTTCTCACCATTTCCCATATATATATATATATATTATATTATTTGCGTGCACACTTTGGTGTGTCCTGCGCCGTCCCGTTTCCACCAACTGGCGCAGCTGGTTCTCTCATGTCTGCTGCCTGCGTCTCAGTGGGTCCCTCACTCCACTCGCCGTGACACGCAAAGGTGGTGGTGGTAGGGGAAGGGGGCGCCAGGAGGTCACATGACTTGTAGCCATTTCCCCACAAGGCATGCAGGCCTAACACAAGTCTCAGCAGAACACTTGCGGGTTTCCCCAGTCTTCAATGCCCACTAGGGGAATTCGCTGCTCCCCTCCCCTCCCCTTCTTTCGGTACCCCCGCCGTGGATTGCCCTTCACTTGCCTTTGATTCTCCTTTGCTTGCTTGATTCTCTCTGTGGGGGAGGAAGAGGGAAGAAGGCAAGAAGCGGCTGCCGCCGCTGCACGAGACGCGTTCTAATGGCTGGCCTGTTACAGCGACTCATAGAGCTCGGCGAAGAACGCCCTGCGGCAGGCCGCCTATCGACCTCGTCGGGCGTCAATGGGAACGCAACGAGGGAAGAGCTGACCGCGGAGCTGTCGCAGCTGCGTGCGCAGTGGGTGGAGCAGAAGAGCAGGTATGATGAGTTGTTTGCCGACGCAGCTGCGCTGCGCTCGGAGTATGATGCCTTCCGCCGCACCGCCGAACGGGAAAAGCGTCTGATGGCGCAGCAACGCGCTGACGACAAGCGCATGCTGGAGGAGTTGCGCCGCGCGGGCGCATCGGGGAAGATGAACGAGGTTTACGCGGCGCAGACGGAGGCCAAGCTGGCCGACCTGCAGGCCCGGCTCCAGAAGGCGGTAGAAGGCGAGAAGAAGGCGTACAAGCGGCAGCTCGAGGCCGAGCAGGCGCGGTTGGCGGCGGAGGCCTCCAAGAAGGAGGATGTGCAGGGGTTGTGCCAAAATTTCGAGCGCTTCAAGGAGGTCATGCGGCAGCGCAACGAGGAGTTGGAGCGGCAGCTCCTAGAGGCGCGTGCGGCGGGGGAGGCACCGCCTGAAAAAAAAGGGGTGCCTGCGCCAAACTCTACCGCCGTTGCGGACTCGCACGGGGACGACGACACCGCGGCCGCCACGAGTGAATCGCCGCCGCAGGTGCAGGCCTTCTTGGCGTCGGCGTTGCAGCGCGAGAAGCAGATGCGGGCGGAGCTCGTGGCGGAGCAGGAGCGCACTCAGCGTCGACTGGAGGGTGCGGCGTGGGAGCACATGGAGGCGGAACGGAAGATAGCCGAGCTCAAGATGGAGGTGGACACATGGCGCTCAAAAGCGGCGCAGCTAGCGAACACCATTGAGGCCCAGGCGGAGGAACACGGACTGCGGGAGAAGGATTACCAACTCGTCATACGGCAGAACGAGGACAATGCTGCACGCCTGGAGCGAGAATTGCAGGAGGCAAAGCAACTCGCAGAAAGTAGGCGCCAGGAGTGGGAGCAGGCGTTGGCCCGCGAGCGGGAGATTGAGGCGAGGCACACGGCGGTGTCCGGCGACGCGGAGTGCCTCAAAAAGACTGCCAGTGAGGCACTGGAGGAGCAGCGTGTGCGCTTCGAGGAACTGCTGCGGGAGCGGGAAGGGCTGCTGCAGGAGCAGCAGGCTGCCTGCCGTGCGTTGGAGGCGACCCTGCAGCAGGTGCGTGAGGATAAGCGTAAGCAGGCGGAGCGCCTTGAGGATCTTCGCCAGGAGTTGGAGCAGGCCCAGCTCTTGAGTAGTGAGATGGAGCTCATGCAGGTGCAGAGTCAACGCCTCATTGTCCTCCGTGAGGAGGAATTGATGTCAAAGGAGGCGGAGCGGCAAAAGCTGCGGCGGCGGTTGCGCGAGGAGGAGGAGGCGCACGAGCGCGCGCGTGAGCGTATCCGCGAGCTAGAGCTGCACTACGGTGAGGCCGAGCTCCTTCGCTTCAGACAGGCGCCCGTTGCGGAGGAGACGGCGGAGGGGGCCGCCGCACTTGAGCGGGCCTGCAGCTCTGCGGAGGCTAGGGCAGCTGCGCAGGAAGCGGAGCTGCAGCGCAGGGACCAAACCATACGGCAGCTGCAGGTCCAGCTCGATGAGTTGATCGCACAGAACGCAAAGTTTGCCTTTTACCGCGAGGAGCAAGCCGCGAAGACGCGTCGGTTTGAGGCTCGCATTCACGAGCTGGAGGCGGAACGCTCTGCGGTGAGGCTTCAACACTTGCAGGCAGAAAATGCCTCTGACGCAGAGCGGCCCCACACCTCGCGCCCGGCGACGGCGGAGGGCACATTTGGTGCCGCCGCTACGCCCTCGTTCGAGGCGTTGTATGCGGCGCCATCCGAGCGTTCTCGGCAGCAGTTTGTCTCCCAGGCAGTCCTGTCCGCGAAAAAATTGCGGTTCTCCGCCTCTTCACGTCTTCGCCGGCTCATCGTAGTTTCTCTGGCGTGCACTGTTTTTGTGCTTTTGGCCACCACTTACTTTGCAGCCCCCTCCAACACGCAGGCCGTGGAGGGCACGGAGGCGGCGATGGAGGCGCTTAGGGGGCGATACACGGCGGCCTCTGCGGCGCTGCGGCAGTGCCAGGCCCTCCTCTCGGAACGCCGCGGTAAATAACAAGTCCTGACGTCAGCATCCACCCACACAAACAGAAAATGAATTACAATCGTGTTGGCAGTTTTGGCCTTCTTTATCCTTGCTTGCCTTTTGTCTCTGCACTGTCCTATATATATATATAGTTCTCTTCCTCGTTGATGCGCGGGTGAAGAGGGGCGGATTGCGGCGGCGGGTGTGTGTGTGTGCCTCATGCTCCTGGCTTTGAACCTCGTTGCATGTGCGCCGCTCCTTCTTCTTGTACCCACGCCTTTAGCGACTCTGCCCCAAGGACGTCAATTGCCCGCGGAGCGAGCGAGGAATTGGCCGACACATTGCATTTGTGAAGCAGCCAATGGAGCATCTTCGAAAGATTCGCTTCTGGAGCCCAAAGGCATCGGTCACTGCCAGCGCCACAGCCGCGCCAAAGCCCGACCGCCCCGCTCTTGTTTGCAACGACGAGACGGTCGACTACGCAGCGTACCACCTGTGTGCCCTCGACCCCGTCCTCGGGAGCCTTCTCTGCGTCGGCGACAACGTGCCCGTCGTCGTGCTGACGCGCGGCCGTCGACGGGTGACGCTTCCGGTGCGAAAAGGGGTGCGATGGCTGGACGCTTATATCTTTGCCGGAACCTCGAGCTTTGTTCTACTGTCCCCGGAGTGTCTACTGCTGCTCGACTTTACACGACGCCATTCCCCCTGCGTCCTTTTCCCGCGCGGCAGGGGTGGGGCACTGTTTGCTTGCCTCCACGTTCCGCAAGGCATGACGTGGGGCGTCGTTGGCTGCCGCGGGGGCTCCGTCATGTATTGGAAGCTGAAGGATGAGGCCGGTGCGCCGAGTTTGGTGTGGGCGGCATTGACAAGCGATCCACTCGCGTTTTGCCGTCCCTTCCTTCCGGCTCAGCTGCCGCCGTCGTCGTCGTCGTCGTGTGGCCACGTCCACTCGATAGACTCCAATCCGACGAGTCCAAATTCCCTTGTGGCGGTGCTTGCGGGTGTCCCTGGGGTCTGCAAGTGGCACCTGGGCGAGAACAACCTAAGTGGCTTCTACCGCCTTCCCGGCGTCGCTGCAGGCACGTCGCTGCAGGTCTGCAGAGTAACCCCGGGAGGGGCTTACATCGTCGCGACGAACGGTGACATCTCCACCGTGTTTATATGGTCAGATGGGGGAAAGAAGACAAAGAACAGGTCGGTGGAGGTGTTCTGGACGCTAGAGACGGGTTGCCGCTTACCTTTTTCTCTCGGGAATAGTAACGTGGAAGGCGTCGACGAGGAGAGCGGGGGTGCAACGTGCGGTATACACATTGCACGTAGCGCCGGCTCTTCTATGCAAGTGCAATCAGACAAAAAGTGTCAGATGCATCTTCTTCTTTACTCGGTGGGAGAATTGGTGGAGCTGGTGCTGGATGTGGAGGGGAGGCAGCTGCATCAGAGAGAAGATGTCTTGGCTCATGTGGCTGCACTCCACCTGGAGCGAGCGGCGGCGCGGGGTGCCAACGATGCCCTCGCCGTGAAGCGTGTCATTCCGTGCGTTCGCTCCAGCTACTGGGTAGGCATGTGGAGAGAGCGCGACCTGGACGTGCTTCTCATGACAACTAGCGCCTCTGGTCCGCTCCTCATACGACGGTGCCGGTCAAAGCGTAGCGTGGAGAGCATAGATACGTTGCAGGAGCTTCCACGCGGGGCGACCGCTTCAGTTGGAATGCTGCTTTTATCTCCGCCCGTTGGACAGGTAAGCGCCATCTGGGCCTCGGTGCGGAGCGCCCAACAGGACTCCGATCCGTGGCGAGACGTACTGCAAGGGATGGGGTTAACGAAGCCGTACACCCCGCAGGAGGGAGTGACATCTCCCTTGGTGTTTGGCACATTGCCTGATGTACCACGTGGAGGTGTTTGCCTGTTTCCTCGGTCCAACGAGTGCATTCCTGCACCCGCGTCCGTCATGGAGCAAGATACGGCGTGGGGAAGCCAAGTCGCAGTCGGAGCTGGCAGGCGGTTGGTGTTACTCGAGCAAGCCATACCAGAGCTGCCGCACGACACAGAAATGGTAGTGCGCGTTGTCGCCGGTGCAGACAAAGTCGTTGTGTTCGTGTCACATGTCTCGGCGGCGTTCGTGGAGCCGCTTGTGGAGATTTCGGGAGCGTGCCTCATGCCAGATACAAAGCCTGCTGGAGGCAGGGAAGATGATGCCGACCGCGACGCAGCCCTTTTAGCACGATCCGCGGTTTTGGTCAGTTGCCGTATGGAGAGTTCAGGAGATGCGCCGTCAAGGCTCCGATTACTCCGCGGCGGATGCAGCGTACTGCTCCAGCTGCGCGACGCCTCCTTGGCGCTGGTGGACCTGAGCGGCGCCCAGGCAGGGGAGGAGGGGTTTCCCATTATGCTGCGTTTTCCGTTAGCGCTCTTCCCCGCTGGTAGCACCGTGGCTTCCTTCGACACGGTCTGGCTGGATTCCCCAGGCTCGTCTGTGTGCGCAAAAGAGGGTGCAGTCGACGGGGGGTGCCTGGCACTTGTCTGCGCCCTGTCCGACCAGAAGGGTGTGGTTGTGTGGGATATGAGCCGCATGCGACTGCTCTCGTACCTTCCAAGCACGGGAGGAGAGGAGTGGCGCTACAATACCGTTATTGCGTGCTCACAGATGACAAACTTCCCTCCATTGGGCGCGGATTTACTGTGCGAAGTTGTCGTGACGTCTGCTGCAACTGCCACGACAGGAGCGGCACACGGAAGCGAGGGCGTTATCTATCTACGCGACGTGTTTGGTCGGCTATTGCTCCCGGTGCGCATTCGCCATTCTCCTGACGGTGCGGATTCGTGGACTGTGAAAAAGGAGGGTGACGGAGAGGACTGGTTTTCGATTCCCTCAAGGACTTCTGCGGCACTGCGCTTCTGCGTGCGAGTTGTCGAAGGCCACGTGATGCTGGTAGGGAGGGTAAACCATTCTCTCGGAGAGACGCCGCTGCCCGCCGCGCGCATCGCCGTGGTGGAGGCAGGACCGTCCTGGAGCCTTGGTCCCCTTGAGTGGCGTTTGTGTGAGGGACCGGGTGGCGTCGAGGAAGAAATGCCTTTTGAAAAAGAGGCGGCGGCGGCGGAGGCGGCCCCCGCGCAGTGTCAGCGTGAGCGGGCGATCGTGTTTCTGTGCGGCGCCAGAAGGATGGACGTCGTTGCCGCCGCGAGCCTGGCAGGGAGCGGGGCTGAGAACCCCCCCGGGCTGTCGTGCTCCTTCCGCTCCGACCGTGTCATTGAGCACGTGGTCGTTTGCGGGGTCGTTGGCGCGGCGCTTGTCTTGACGAAGGACGCCAACGGGTGGCGCTGGCTCAGCGCGTTGGATTTGGAGACGGCCCAGCCGTTGGCGGAGTCCCAGGCGCTGATTCACTTCACCCGGGAGGGGCAGCTCCGCATCTGCCCTCTCCCGCTGGAGGGGGAAAACCTCCACGTGTACGTCGTCGGCCGGGGTGGGGTGCTCGGCCACCTCGTCTTCGCTGCCGCGGGCGGCGGGGGACAAACGGTTAGCGCACACGCCGGTGCGTTTTTCGCGGAGCCGCCGTGCATAGCCGCGCCGTCGAGTTTCGGGGCGTATCGCCGATTCCTGCCGCCGCCGCCCACAATGAAGCAGGAGCAGGGTTTTTTGAAGCGCCTCATGACGCTTCCGTGGGAGGAAATGGCCCTGAAAATAGAGGAACTGCTGCGGCCGGAGCGACACGAGACTTTCGAGGAGCTCCACCGGCGCCTGGCGCCAACCTCCGAGCACGGAGGAACCCCGCCGCCGCCACCGCCGCCGCCAACAGCGACAAGGGACGCGGCGTCGTCGTCCCAGCAACCCAGCCCGCTGCAGGGGCCGCGGCGAGGAAGCCGGTACGACGAGCTAAAATCCACTGCGGCGCGCGAGGGCGTCACGCTGAACGAGGCGAGGCGAATAATGAACGAAAACCAGACCAAGCTGCAGGAGCGTGGGGAGCGGATTTCTGAAATCGCGAATCGGTCCCGCGAGCTCGCGGAGGAGGCGGCCAAATTTCAGAATCTGGCCCGCATGTTGAAGGAAAAGCAACGAAACAAATGGATATAAACAGAGGTGGCGGAAGAGAGAAAGAAAGAAAGGAAAAAAAAACGAGGGCGAGCGGGGGCGCCATTCCCGCAAGAGCGCGCGGCCCTCGCGATGAAGCGTTTTCCCAACTTTCCCCGGTTTCCCGGCCGCCGTGACTGCCAAACTCTTC